TTAACACATATCTTATTACAAAAGATAATTGTACTGTTACTAAACTGAAACTTTGTTAGGCATTAGCAATAGTCAGTAATTGAAACTTACTGCATCAGAAGGAAGCTGTGCTACATCATCAAATGGACTTTCTATTGTATTTGTATCAGCATCAAAAATAACAACTTCATCAAGTGGCATTAGACGAACTTTCTAAAAATGCATAGCAAAAAAAGGAACATTAACCTCAAATTCAAATACATTCAGGACACTAAAACTTTTAACAAACAGATTCCATGAAATTTAAACAAATTGCATTCAAAAGTCACACATTAAAATATCTATCAATCTACAAAGACACATGATGTAATGGCTTAGAAAGTCTCCACTCAAAATAGCCGTTGAGAGACTGCAAATTAGTTAGTGAGTATGTTTGTTTTTTTGTATGGATCTGTGCATGTGACTGACTACTTGTTTACGTTTAAGCCCTAATTAGTTTTAAAAATTCACTTCACTTTTAGTACATACCGGCATTAGTGATGAATGAACTCCCACCAAAAATGGCATAGGTGCACTGTTAAAGATATGTAAATATGTTATTCTCTTATTACCATATATTTGCTAGTGTTATGGTACTGATTTTTTATGACAAAAAATCAAAATTGTCAGTGTAAAAGCTGTAAGCCATTGTTTACATACTAACCAACAGTAGTCCAACAGATGCCGTGGCACAATAGGAACAAACATGTGTTGCCTATAAAATGATGAAAAAGTATTATAATCACAGCATACTGAAAATGTGCACCACTAACAAAAAAGCATTTACTACACCACTTTGAATCTAGAGAAAGCCAACCATCTTCTTTAATGATGCATAATTAAGGTATGATCTGGTGTGAGGGAAGGAAATAAAACCTACCAGTGCATCGGATATAAAAGGGATGATGCTCCGTATGTACAAGCAGTTAGCTGAAAAAGAATATTGATTTTGATGAACAATGAGTCAAAACAGTTTGTGCCTCTAATAATACTGCAAAAACTTTTAAATTACTAAACACAACAGCAAGACGTTCCTTCTAGGAAATCTTGTTTTAAAGTGTAAACAATACACAATTATTTAAATAATGCAGAATCAACATACCAAATTAAGCTTCTTGGATGTCACGATTATTCTTCTTTCAAAGAACATACTAAGAGAGAGAATTGTAAAGTATTATCAACACAAACATACACCAGTTAATTAAGGTGAACTTATCAATTGGCAAGTGGCAAGGAGTCCAGGAACCTGGCAATATCTACACCATGACAGCAAATAGTCGTTTAGATATTTTAAATGCAAAAAGTACAAAATGTACATGTACTATGTAGCAGTAAAGGAACCTTTACCTGGCAAATATAAAAATCATATTTGAGGGATGGACAGCTGCAAAGTAATCTGTCAGGTTCCTCTGTAAAAACAAACAAACACACAAACATACCCATCATTTGTTAAATGCCTTTAATCTTACTGGGTTATAATGCCCCCACTTGCCACTGCATTATTTCAGGAAAATAAATTATATACTTCATGAGATTGACATAAATTAAGGACAATCTCATTAACTCAAGATGAGTTAACTTTTGCTGCCTTTGTTTCTGTGCTTTTAATCAAGAGGCCCATTTATATCAACATTGTTGATCTCCATCATTTTGGCCCCAAATTCTCCATACTGTACACTCCAGTAAATTTTGGCAGTGGAATTAAATTGGCTATTCATCTTAGGTACTTTATTTTAACAAAGGACAGTAGAGAGAATGCTCCTTGGGAGGCATTAACTTCCTATGTTAGGATATACAGTATTTTAAATCCCATTCAATTTCAGCACTATACCCTCCTTAGAACTCTTTACACACATTTAACAAAAGGTTACCTTTCTCCTTAAAATTAAGTTATAAATCAGGGCACCAAGGCAGGATAAATAATTTGCCTATTTAACTATTTCAAGTTGATAAAACATGACACAGCTAGTAGCTTCAAGGCACTCACATCTTCTGGTATACTGGGTAGCTTAGTAGTGTCTGGCACAACAAAGGAAATATCCTAAAATGCAACAAAAATAACATTGTATTAATTTAAAAATTAATGAACTCTATGAGAAAAAATAGTAGGTTAAAGGATGCTAATCCCAAATGACAAAACTTGAAATATCAGCAAACATACTGTTGTTTTACTAACTCTTATGAAGGCTTGTATTTTTGAACCACAATACAGCTTCAGTTAGAAGCCATCAAATGATCAATCACACTGTTCTTTTATAAATTTTTGAGGCAACACAAGGCTGCTATGGACTTGCAAAAATTAGGAACTACTCAACGAGCTGATTACCCCTATTCCTTACTAGGCAGCTAGGTACTGGTTGAAACTATTAATTAAACAGGAACCTGCCTACATGATTGAAATCAAAACAATTTTTTTAAAACAGTTGTTTTATCCTCAAGCAATCTTCACCACTCATAAGATACATTTGTGTGGTAACTTACTCTTTTGCCTCCATCCACTGCAACAGATAACTTGGAGCCTGGTTCTTTAGGTGCTTGACCATATAGATGATTCAGTATTGGAAGTATGGCATTAATCTGTATATTGCATAACAAAATGTCATAAATGACAGACACTATTCCATTTCTATTTAGAGCCGGAAAAAAAACTCAACTTAGACTCTTAAAATTCAGCAAACTTCACCAAACAAAAAACTATGTAGTACACAACACAACTCACAGTGTGCCAAATTATCATAAAAAAAGTCTGCCTAATATATATTACAATATTGATACCAAGCTTGCTTGTGTTTCAGTACAATGCTCCTACACAAAACTAATTTACTTCATCAACAATAGCATGAAAACTTTCTCCAGTTTATATATCACAGCTTAATTAGCTTACACTGGACAGCAAAAATACACTATAACTCAAAATTGCTTCCTTTGGCCAATATATAACATTAACTGCTGCTTTAGAAATCTAGAGCTATGAAAATTGAACAACACTTTTTGTTTTCCCTAGAGGCAAATGCTGAAAGTGAAGATACCAATTTGAAAATAGCTATTAAATAGACATAGATAATACATGCACAATTTAAATTTTCTACCTTAAAATCTTTGTTCATCAAACAGAAAGAATGTCATTGCATTCTCAAATTGTCAACTGTTACAAAATAATATGTTCTAACAGTACACAAAAAGCAAATAAGCATAATTATGGAACATTTTTACCTCATTTTCTCTCTTCAAGTCTGAAATCCTATTCAGAAGCTCATAAAAAAATTTAAACCATGGCAAATAGCTGAAATCAGAGGTGAAACTATCAATGTCATGTTTTACCTGAAAAAACAAACTTAATTATTTTAATCAGTTAACAGCTGTAGTTTAATATTTAAAAAACAACAACAAAACAATTATGCCAGTGTTAAAAACACTAAATCATCTGTTCAAGTATAATACCTTAAAATGCAGAGGCAGGTCTTGACATCTGGAGAATAGCGGCAAAACCCAAATCTATACTTTCCTTCAATATCAGTGAGAACAAAAGTGTAGTGCTGGACAGCTTCCCTGTAAAGAAGAAAACATTTTGTCTACTTCTCATCACAAACCTGTTGCTGATAACATTACCTTGAAATAGCACACTAGCTTAACCCTTTTGATTCCCAAGATGTAACCCATAACTATCCCTTCTTAAGTTGATACATTTCCAAATAAACTAATCGAGAGGATTTGATAGCTTTCACAATAACCAATCAGAGTAAAAGAAGATGTCCAGAGGAACCCATGAGAACTCAAGGTAAAAACAAGCAATCATCTCTAAGGGCCAGAAAACTCAAGAGTCCAAACTGCAGTTGGTTTTGGTTTGCAACTGATTAGTCTGAAAACTCATGCTAGTTTTCTGGACTAATCACACACACATAGTGAGGCAAAACAAAACTAAAGCAATCCATGATTAATTTTGACACTTCGATGAAAATTGCTTGATCACCCTACAGCTGATAAGTTTGTCCCACCTCATTTCCTCCATGAAAGATAAACTATGGTATGATAAGGGGAAGTTGATCACTTTCAGTGTTTAAAAGGTTAAGGAATATTCATTCTAAACATTTACAACTTACAACATGATTTGATGTATACTTACGAACTTGTGACACAAGGATAGCAAAACTGAGGAATTGCCTTTAATGCTTCCTGAAAAAGGTCAATTCAATTTTAAATAAGTTGTCATCTTGACAACAAGATAAGGTTACACTATCTGTTCTCACATTTGGTGGCATTTGATCAAACACCTACTTTTTCATCAAAGTCTGTGGGATGAATAAACTTTGTTTCTGGACCTACAAGAAAACCAATGCATCAAGTCAGCAAATGTAAAAATTGAAAAAGGCACAAATTATCATAACAACTAACGCCAGGTCCTGTTAAAGACTTTCAGGAAGTAATCTTAATAACCTGATTGAAGTATATGACTGCATAGGAGGTGGAGTTGGACAGTTAGATGTCAGAATCAAAAATAAACAACTATACGAAAATTTATTTCTTTTTTCAATATTCCAAAAAAAGGTTGAAAATTAAACTCTTGACATGTGGTTTTGTCTTGTTGGCTGCTCACCTATGAACTAGTCAATCAGTTCACAAAAAAAATACTGTTCACTTGTGTGGTGTATCGTAAAAAGGAATTCCAATTTGGAGCCACTGGGGCCCTTCTTCCTAGCCTTTGGAACCCCTGTGGAGCAGCTTTGGTTCAGACACTCATCAAGCCATTTTCCAAACTCGATGTAGCACCAAATATGAAAATGTAATGAATTCTTAATGTTCCTAACTCTGCTGGAAACCTAGAATTGTATTGGAATCTGTCATCTGATCCAACGTGGATGCTTCAGCTCTTAAATAGTTTGGTGGTCAATTCACACCTCACTGTAACTATTGCACATTAAAATTGGTCATTAGATTTTTAAAATATGCACAATACTTTTGTATAATGTAAAAAAATATGTCTG